CTCCCTCTCTCTCTCCCTCTCTCTCTCCCTCTCTCTCTCCCTCTCTCTCTCTCTCTCTCTCTCTTGCATCATAACGCGATGATTATTATTACACAAAACTGGAGCTGCCGTAAACATATATAAGATATTAAATTAAAATAGCAGCTCACATAATGAACATCCTTGTGCGAACGCTCATTTGTAAATTTTAATGGGCTTAAAATACAGCTAGGTAAAGCTATTTATAAAAAAAAATTTGCATAACAATGTTAGAGAGAAAAAGGAGGGATTCCATTTACGCGAAATCTCAGTAAACACAGAAATAATCGTAATCGCGTAGTTCATTCGAAGCTGTGTTCCACATGTGCTCGAGCATGATATTCAAATTCGACTAGCGTAAAATGAGACTCGCACAATTTATTCCAGTCGCATGCACGCGGACTTTTTTTAATTACATATTAATCACCTCGAGAGGGAAAATCGTGCGAGCGATTTCTCTGGGTATCGCGCATACGTCTGTCCGCGATGCGACGTTCCTCAGTTCGTAATGAAATGAAACTTTCGTGCGCGGGAGAGAGCCTAAGATAGACTCTCTCGCGTTACCGGAGAAATCCGCAGCGGGACGGTCGTTTTGATAGAGCAATTTCAACTTTCTCGAACTGTTAGCGAAACGACGCCGACGGTCGATCGCTGGTGCGCGAGAGAGGCGGAGGTGCGAGACGTGTTCTCGTAACTGGAAAGTGCAGCGATTCGATGCCCTATAATCAACGGGTTAACATCCATCTTCGCGATACACCATCGCGGAAATAAAACTTCCTGCGCGCGCGTGAAGAACACAAATCGACTGCCTAAACGTACAAATAGTTTTGTGGCTTTACATTTCTCCGTCACATTTCGAAAAAAATCTCTCCGTTACTTGACTTTTTTATCGAGACATTTTTCTGTTCACGCGCAAAATGTCTTTCTGCCAACAAGATTCGTGGGACGAACCGTTCCTCGGGTAATCGAGTCGACGATGAAGAATTATGACCAAGATTATGACCGACCGCATACCGACAGACGCGTGTTATGCGCTTGATAAATGCCAAGGTCGCGTTGAAGCTACTCCCTGGACGATTCACAAGTCGGCCGCTACCGACGTTCCTCCCCCGTAATTGCATAGTTTATCACAAAGACTTTCTCTGCCGGCGTTTCCATCAAAGGCGGATAGCCAACCACCTGAAAACCTCAATACAAACGCCTCTGTAAATCCCACTGACCTGTCGTCCTTCTCTCTCTCTCTTTTGCCTCTTCATCTCCCTTCATCTTTTCGGCAACTCGTGAAAGCTCGTGCCGTGAGGGGCGATCGGCGAATCGAGTGCTGGACAAAAGGGAGGGGCCCCTGTTCGCTCGAACGACTCGTTTTCGTGGCTGGTGCCCCCGATAATCGTCGGCCCGGCCGCGAAAATATCAAATGCAAATGGCACTCTGACAGGCCCGCAATGTTTCTCGTTCTTTCTCACTCCTTCAAATTGGTGACGTAATCATAAATCGAATTTTTCTCTGACAGAAAGACCAAAGGAGATGCCATAAATATTCATTCGACGCTACGATGACAAACGACGCCAACGTTTTAGATGACGTATAGACACGCGCGTGCAGCATCTACATGATGTCTGTAGTATGCATAGAACGGCGCGTTAGCGATATCTCTCCTCCCCTCATCTTCGCGAGGATTACTAACAATAAGCCGTTCATGGCGAATGATGTATCGTAGGTATTTGGAACATAAAAATGGCAACGTTACCTGCAGCGAAACAGGAACTCGCAAGTGGTGCGCGTTTACTTTCGCTTCTTGTCTCACCCGAAGTTTACTTTAAGTTAAGAACTCGAAGTTAAACGTATATACGCGAACGCATATAACTCAGCCTTAAGAATCTCTACCTAGATAATAGACAAAATTCGCATTCGTGATGCAATCCGAGTGACAATATAAAAGATCCAGTCGCTTAAAATAATTAGGATTCATCGCAGATAATAGTTTTCCTACGATTTCCGGAAAAAATTTCGGTTTTATATAGATAATTAATTACTGATTAAATTTAAGAGACCAAATGTGTCATGTTAGGGTTTTATTTTGTCTTCAAATTTTTTATTTGGATGCTATATCTCGTTATGTGATCGGAGATTTCCGAAGTCGCAGTTAATGCATAACGTGCCGAGACAAAGCTTTCATAGAACATACGTAAACGCATCTCATGGCCGTTAGACTCGTGCATAAATGCGTTGCTCACATTGTCAGACGTTGATACGTCATCGTATGGCGACATTGTAATTCTGCTCGACATGTGTCGGTATCGCAACTAATAGTCTACCGGACAAAGAACATATATAACCATAGAAGTTCGCACTAATACCTTCCAGCTCGTACATTGGTTTCACACTGTTATGTAAAGTAGATTATTAAAAATAATGACTGTAACTTTAATATACGGTACGTTAAATATTAATCTTGAAAATAATTATAAGCTGACAAAGATGGTAGGTCACTAATATGACTGCAGGAGCGAATTTAAAAAAAGTGTAAAGGGAAATTAAATGCAGCGAGAAGGCTTCCGCGCTAAATTTAACTTCGAAAAATAATAGTGAGGGACATTCATTGCATTCCACGGTTTCATCGAGCTGAAAAGCTTTAATTAAATATCTCGGTGCAATATTACTTACCGTGAAACCGATACCCACGGTGGCCGCGAAGTTTCCCGGCTGGAATCTTCCGGTATCGAACTGGACCAATAACGAAGTCTTACCAACTCCGCTATCACCGAGGAGAATTGTCTGCAAGCATACACGCTAGATTAGTTTAAGAAAACTTTAATGAAATAGGAACGTTCTATTTTGTTGCAAAGAAATAAAAAACGATGCAATCTGTATCTCGATCACGAATCTTTAAGTTCATTTTTCAATTAATATACACGCACGTACGTTTCCCATTTCTTCCGCACCGCATCGTGGATACTTCCTCAGAAGTTTGATTTTCAATTAAAGTATTCTTTCGCACGTTTCCCATTTTTCGTGAATATTTCCTCAATTGGATTTTATATTTCGGCGTGTAGGTGAGAACAAGCATGGAATATAAAAAAGCGTTCGCGAACGCGATTACAAGGAGCTATATCAGCTTTCTAGCTCTAGTCAAGTCAGTGTCTCTCCGAGCGCAATCACGATCCTATTTTGAGATTGTTTTGTCCATTGGATACGGTACCGACGAACAAAAGAGAAATAGAAACAACGTAGTGATAGTGCACCGAGTGTGCAATAAACCGCGGCAGTTCGCGCAATCAGTAGCAATGTCGAAGTCGATTGCGACGATAAGCGATCGAGCGTAGCGACGTACCGGAGTCCATCTTCCACCCAATATCAATTGGTATTGGCTCGAAATTTAGAGACGCTTGTTGAAAACGGATCGATGCTGCGGGACTATCAACATTTGTTTTCGATAGCGAACCAAGCGACTATCTGATGTTTAAACGAGTACGCCACGGTACCGCTCGATATCGGACTTGATATGAAAATTAAATTGAAAATTTAGTGGTGGCGCCACAATTTGATCAACATGAAATTTTTTACGACGGAATTTAATGTAGACTCCATCTACTTTATCCCATCTTGTACGATACGAAGATTGTGTTCTCTCTCTTTTTTTTATTCATATGTTATTCACGATTTATATCATGTGTGAGTATCTCGGCTAAAATATTGGAAAACAACTTCGTGGCAGATAATATATAACTGGGAGAAAGAAAGGAAACGATCTCTCCCACTTATTGTTCCGTACCAGGGGCCACCATCGTCGTCAGACAATGGCAGCTCTGACAGAAGATTGATACATGCGCTTCGAGTGCTTCGCGCCGCGCGCGCAAGAATATCAATGCCATCGGTAATGGCGCACAGTGGGACGAAGGCTTCCAAAATTCGAAATTGCGACTAACACAATAAAAAGAAATGAATATATTTCCTAACTTATATATAAACTGAATCTTCATATTATGATCCGAAATAATATAAGCACGTTTATTTCGTACTTGTACAGAAACGTAAACATGAACGTATTATCAAACTTTTTATGTGTATTACATATCTCTGTTTCGTTGCTAAATATTTCAAGAAAAAATACAACTAAACAGTACACAATCTAAAAAACTCTATTCCTATCAAAAATACTATTATTAAATATGTGAGATACACAGATAAAATTTGTTTACCTTACTGAACAATAATTTAAACAATATCTCTTTAAAACTCTGTTTAGACCAATTTTTAACATTAAAATTAACGTACAGTCTTTGGAACCTATTAGAACCACTTGAAATCGATCAATTTCGGAAGAGTACACATTGTAGATTAATTATCAGGTGATAACTTTGCCATAAAATGCCATACGGTTTTTCCAAATCAAGTAATTTGCTACTCATTTGCAAACAATAAGCGTGCGCGCGTAAATAAGCATAAATGCGCAACGTTTATATAAATAGATACAAAATAGATAAACGTATTTGTATTGTGGTGTGTATAATTTTTCGGATAAAACATCTTATCTTACAAGTTTGTATTTTATAGTGAGCACGACATAAAAATTATAGAAGTATACGTTTACATCATTCACGGAAACGATCCAGAATTACAACAAATGAAGATGTTATACATATGCTTCTCATTACTTCAGATCCGGTGATGTTAGAAAAAAGGAAAATTCTTCCAAAGAACAAACTAGAATTGCATCCGGATGCGTTAAATCTCTTATTGGATTAAAAGTAAGATCCATCTTCATAATACACTAATATTATATATGCCATAAGTTATTTTTTTTTTCAGGTTTACATAATTTTAAATAATAACATTCATTAAAGAAGAGAGGAAACCAAAAGTTTCGTTAATAACAAGCAGCATTAATAACATGTTATTATTACGTTATTATATGGACTTGTAACAAGTGGTTTAAAAAGGTGTTTTTGTTTTAACTATTATTATTATCAAATACATTTTTAGAAGCCCTACAACTTTGCTTCTTACATATTTTTTATTATAGTTGCTTATTTTCTAGATATTGAATATTGAAAAAAAAATAGCGTATTCATCCCACTGTGCGGCGGAACAAAGAACAAGGGTTGCAATAACGCAGGTAAGTACGGTTGTGCCATGATGCACCGATGCCACCGACGGTCTAGCAGGTGTGCCACCATTCTTCTGGCGATGGAGGCGCAGAATCGTTGTCCCTTCCTCGTAAAATGTCAGCGAGTGGGTAATAAGTGATTAAATAACACAAATGCTCTTGACAGCCTTGCACACCGTTCGCTGTTTCACTGCTTTCGAGAATGAGAAAGAGAGAGAGAGAGAGAAAAATACCATGTATGCCAGATATTGAAATATAAATGCACTTTTTATGGACATGCCGGGGGTATCATTTTGGACCTGACATTCGCGTGTCGCGTCGCGTAATTCTCTCGAATTTGTATATGATCCACCGCATTCAAAATTTAGAGAGCCATTATTATTGATAGTGTATTCGCGTTTCACGCTCGGGGATAAATTATCTCGGAGTAACCGAATGAATGTACAAAGCACCACAATGTAAAGCATGACGTTCAATTAAATATCCTAGAGATTATAAAATTGCTGGAACCGCAAGAGTCTCGCGTGTGATAAAAGAGAAAGATTAAACTCGTGACTAATAACCGCGACTGTGTTTTGCGAAAACGAAGCTAGGCATGGTCTTGACGTTCAATTTCCCGTCTCGTGGAAAAACTTTTTTCATCTCTCGTCTTATCTGAAACAACCTCCGTCGAAAGAGCGGAGCTTATCGTTCTGAGATCGTGATTAGCGCTCGCAAAAGGCCACGCGCGAATAAAAAATGCGCGAGGAGTGGCGAAGAAAAATGCGAAGAACCGCCAAAATCTGCGAAACTGATTCGAATCGACTGTCAGAATCTCGCTTTCCAAATGAGAACATTCCCGGGCCGCCGAAAAGCTCCTAAACCGTGTCGCCGTGGATTTATAATCTCCGAGCGCCTCGAGGCGGCGCGGCATCCCCTTCGCGACAGAATTCCTATTGAAAGATTCGCGATACCCTCAGGGGGTGGTCGTGACGAGTGTCGGCGAATGTGTCGGCCTCAGGGGCGGAGAAACTTAATTCACTGCCCTCCCTATCCCGTCTCTCTCTTTCTCACTCCCTCCCGCGCCCCCTTCTCCCATTCTCTCCCTTTCTCTCCCTCTCTCCCGCCCCCCTCCCTCATTCTCTCTACGCTGTTGTAATCTACCTCTGTGTTCTCCCCATTTCCTCCACCCTTAGTGGAACCCCATTATTTCTTTGTAGATGTTTGTGCCGCCGCCGCGCGTTTTCAATTAATTGCCGGTAATCGCGGTAGGTGAGCGAACGTTAAAAGCTCACTGTGACTCAGAAAGGATTTCGTTGTGTGATAATGTGTTGCGTGAAAACGCTTTTTAGAAATTGTTATACCGTGAGCTGGATGGCCGGAAGACTATTTTTGTCATAACCTAATTCTTGAAGATAAAATGTAAAGACGTAAGGTGAAAAAATTAGCAAACGTGGCATCAAAATCTTTCAAGTGACTCGCTAATAAAATATAATATTTTTCACTTTATAAATCGTTATATCAAGTCAAATATTTTCTCTAATATCAATTAACGCGGCGAATAATGCATCCCGTTAATCAATTATTCGAAAGTTAAATAGATTATTAAAAATTATATGATTAAAGATATAATATGATAAATCTATTATCATGTGTCTATTTTCTCATTTGAAATTTAGTTCGCCAAAAGATTTATATCTTCAATCGTCAATTACGCGAAAACTATCTCGGTGTTCTCATCGAAGAAATTAATTAAGAATTAAAGAATTCTAAAAATATTTGATAGTTTTTACAACAGTCCATTATTATAAAGTGCCGATGATCTATGCAAAAGACCGAGCGAATTTTTAGCTCTTCGGACAAGAGTACGAGATCAAACAGACTTCACCTCTCTTTATCAGTGACGGAGAGAATTTATCGGCGACTATAAAGTCCGGCTACCGTTCACTTCTTGCAACGAACGCGTTTCTCGCAGCCACTCCGGAGCACTATCGATTAACGATCTCGTACAATCAGTTTCGATCATTTGTTTCTTCGCATCTCGTCAATCCATGGCGATTTACGGTCATGCTTTTCAAAGTACGTAAATATACAATTATCTTTCTCACGATCGTGCTCATTATCGTACGATAAAGATTTACATGTATCGCGCCATTAGAACGCATCAAAGTGGAAATTAAATAAATCAAAGATTTTCGCTTTTCGTAGCTTAACCTGTGACACGATTATTTATGTTATAAATTAATAAAAATTTAATTAGCAGGTAACGTCGCGATTTTATACGAGAGATTATACACTAAAGAACGTGGTACTATAATTAAGATCGTAAGTTATAATCGACGTAATCGTCGGCTAATCCGCCTTAAACCTGTTGGTCCTTTCAGTGAGAGCGCGGAACTGTCAATTATTAATAATACCTAATATACAGACCCTTCGTAGTCGGGTACATCTCGGAACGGCTCGTAACTGCGACGGAAGTGTAAAGCTGGGTACGCGATCGGTTACTACGGAGCCGTCATAAAAGTGCGATCGTAAAACCGACGTACCATGAAGACAAGCTGTAAAGATTTACGAACGAGATGTTGCGGGATTCGCAGGCTGTCGCGATCGCCGATAGAACTCGGATCCTGCCGAACGAGTCCTTTTCTGCACGGTTTCCGATGAAGTGAAGGACCGTCTTGTGACCCTC